CCCCCCTGTCCCCCCCCCCCACTCCAAAAGGTACGACGAGCACCCCCAGTCCCATTTATATCGGAGTCCGCCTGCAGCTGTTTATATATATACACATAACGAACGAACTGAATTAGGAGGCTGAAGTAACAGAACTAAGCTACCGCATGCAACTGAAACAAATGCGTTCAGACGAGGGCCAGAAAAAGCCTGCGAAAAATATACCCCAGTGGAGACACAAAGGCAGGAAATCTGGCTAGGAGCCAGGCTCAAGCTTCAAGCGATTGGAAGTCCACCCTACGAGGCTTAACAAAAAAAAAATCCTAACAAAGAATGACATATGTAAAAAGTAACTAAGAAAGAAAGAATGAAGCGAAACAAACTGAGATAGAAAGTGTTTGGTTCTGAGGATTAGCTGATCACCACGTGATATACCCTGTCCCATATACCCCTGCATTATTAGACAATGCAGGTGTAAAGTGGAGTCAAGTAGTCATGATCAAGAAATTATCGAGGTATGTAATGTAATTGTGATTCACAGAAAGTGTGTAAAGTTTTATCTTTACGCTGAATATAAAAAAATAAGTTAAGATTAAAAAACAGCAAACAACAACAACAACAACAAAAAACATCAGGAGTACCTCTGAGGGATAAACGCCAAGAATTCCAGCAAGTCTATAAGCACAAGAACCATTCTGGTGAGCGCCTTTAGGGTTCCCTTGCAACTTTCTGTTCAGTAAGGGAGTCACAATCACTAGCCCAAGGGTTCCTACTCACTAGCTGGTGACACAAACAGACCTCAAACCGTATCACAAGGTTCATTTTGTATAAGAACTTTTAGTTTGTCTTATTTTCTGTGAAAATTCACTGAGCCTACAACCAACATTGTCATAACCTGACAATGTGCAAATAGGGGTCTGTGAGTTTAAATGAAACAATTAAATTAAAGTTCAAGTTCAAAGTTCAAGTTCAATGTCAGTTCCTGGTTATCAGTTCCTTGCCGGCAATTTACTTCAGTTATTTCTCTTTGCTTTCAAAATGGAAGGGAACAACATTTTAAGAACATCAGTTCATCCTCAACTTCAGTTTAAATTTATGATCGTTCCCTGAGGCTCAGTCTAAACGTGTGGCATGGTTTTTTTTTTTGCACAATAATGGCATATTGCATTCCTTCCCCGAAACCTTTGATTTGTTCTTAAATTGCCAAATGCACCGCAGAGTATGAACTCGTGTCATAGAGGAACCACAAATTTCAAACTTACAGGGCCTAGAACCCTTCAGAATTTCTTAAGAATAACTATGGAATTAGAGACTCAGTCAATGAAATACCGTAAAGAAAAGACTCACGGAGCCTGGGACCCCACTGCCCGGTGAGGTCACTATATAAAGCAGAACGCAGACTACACTAACGCCTGATAAAAACCAAAATACCCGAAGGGTAACTGCCATAGCTTGGAAACAAACTTTCAGACTGCGAGCAGTCTGCAGGGTTAGCTTTGGTAGGGTAATAGTCGACCAGGCTGACCTGCAGTAGTCATGAAAAATCTGGGAAAATGAGAACAATCTAGATTTCAGTGCGGGTCGTGAAGCAAAAAGAAAGTAGACTGTGAAGTGGACCGTGAAGTGGGCCGTGAAAAGCCCTTGAGTGGGTAAGTCGCGCGTGACTTACAGTTAATATCATTTCCGGCACTACGTCATTTGCCATTTTTGACACTCGACCCGGAAGTGAAGATTCCACAGCCAAATATGGTAATGATAACATCGACGCAGCCTTTCGTACCTGGTGCAAGTAAAAGGTTGTGCAGGCTGATTTCGAAATCACGAATTTGTTACTTCTCGAGCCTGGCAGTAATGGAACCTTTGAATATTGCACTGGTTGCCATTCTGTTGTCTTGTTGCCATGCAGACATTTACATGCACAATCCTCGAGGAACGAATAATCGTCTGAACGAGAGATCGGCCCAGAGAAAAAATGCCAACAGACTCTTCGATTCTCAGGTACAGATAGTGCACAAAGTAGTTCTGTTACTTCAATATTTTAAAGCAGTCTTGGTAATTATCACTTCCCAAAATGAACTTCTCTACGGATTTAATGATTTTGAATTGCTTGAATAACGAATTAGGAGTTAAACTTGTTGGCGCCGTGTTTGACCAATATGGATTTCGCGCAAAAAATAGCTTTAATAGTTTTATGATCTCTGGTGGGAAGTGTTGCATGCAGTGCTATTGATTTGTGTGGAGTTAAACTGTATGAAAAAGATAAGGAAGCTGTTTAAAAAATAGTAAACTGAGGAGTTTCTCGAACGTTTAATATTTGGCTAACAATTCTAACCCTCGGGGAGGGTTTCAAGGCTCTACACTGTAGAGTAAACTTGGGAAGTCTTACCATCTTTTGATATGTATTTTACAGACTGTTTGTATCATTATGATAATGCTAGTGGCTAGATGGCTGATATCCAGAAACAGCCTTTTCAAGGCCGTCTATGGAAAAGTTTTAAAACTTTGTGTAGGCTACATGCCTGGTGGTCCGTCGGGAACTTAAGTTAGTGGTTAGCCTGATAACTGTTCCCAGATGGAATTAGCCAATCAGAAGCCCTGTCTACTTGTCAATTTTGTCTTGCCATTGATAGTATTTTGGTGGGACACACTCAAACCAAATTACCCACAACAAGACCAAACTTGCCGATAAGCTGCTAATTTATGATGCAGATTCTCTTGCTTTGTCAATAGGCGTGATTATTAATTCTTTTGCATGTACTTTTGCATTACACTTGACAAAGAGTAATGAGGGGCTACCCACACAATCCACACTGGACGTCCTGGTGGATTGATACATTAGAGATCCCCTGGCTTACTAACATGTACTTAGCTAGAGAAACAGGTCACTGCAGCTACTTAATATATTTATCTGGCAGAATCAGTTTGTATCTGGGGGATTTAGTCTGTATTTCCAGGGGGGTTCCTAGGAAATCAAATAGAGTTGGTAGGTATGGTTTGTTACTCAAGCTGACCAGGAGAATCAAAAAAGGGTTCAGTTATCCTAAAGTGCTGGACCTAGGAGGTTTAGGGGGTTTGGTTGAACCTCCTAGATAAACAAAAAATGAGACATTATAACACACTGATTTGGCCTCAGAATGCCAGAAATTCCATTTCTGAGGACCCCAGTTTTAAAAATTTATCAGAGAGGATGTCCCAGACCCCCTGGAGGAGACTGTCTTCAGC